AAATTAAAAACAAGAATTCTTCTTGAAACATGTAATATCAAACCAATGCCTCGATTTTTTTTCCCCCCCTTCCTCTTAATTTGTAACAGAGACTCTAAGAAAATAAAATCTAAGGTTAAGGAAATTTCCATCAATGTGAAGAAAATATTTTCCAAAATTAAAATAACAAGTTCCTCCTGGTTAACATAACTGATTTAAGTTGCAGATACATGGCTGCCCCTGAGATCACCTTCCTCCCCGAGCACCGCGAAGGGGCCAAATCCACATCCTTTTCAGCAATTTGCAAGCCCTCTATGGGACTACCTTTTTATGAAATGCTGTGCATACTACCAATGCTACATAAATATTTCATGATACATTAGCCAGTCCTGGAATTTCCTGCAAGATTACACAAAGTCTCTAAAACAGTGCACTGCTAGCCGTAAAATAATCAGATATAAAAGTAAGCTATATCAATCCCTTGATTAACTACTTTTTTTTTTTCCTTAAGAATTTTTTAAAAAAGGGGGGGGGGAGTGTTGCTACGTGTTAATCTCAGGGGAGATTTGCCACTTATATTACCTTATTAAAAGGCTTTTAGAGTCACACTTTTTTTTTTTTTTTACATCAGATACTATTGATTGATTGGAGGAGAACCTTCATATTGTAATCTGTAGTCAAAACTGGCCCCGTGAGACTAGAAACCAGACCACAGACTATAAATTGTAAGATCCAGTCCGGTGTCTGATACACAGGAGAAAAATGAAATTTAATTGATTGACCTAAATGGTGCCTAAATCTTAACAATATGTGTTCCTGCGTGTTAAAATGACTCTCAATGCTTTCATTTCCTTATCTGTAAAATAAAGGCACTGAAGGCCACTAAGATCCTTTCAGCTTTAAAAGCTGATTAGCATTTTCACTTATCTATGGCTCCCCCCAAAACCGCTCCTCATTTCCAAGTTAGTAATTTGGGACAAGAACAGCTCAGTAAACAGAAAACGTCCCCGGGGGAAAAATGGAGGCTAAGATTAAAGAATCAAATTTCCAAACTAAGCAATGCTTCCCCATGTTGAGGGACCCCCCAGTAAGATAATAATATGTGAGAAAGTGCTTTTAAATTTTTCAAGACACTACAGAAATGTACGGTGGTATAATACTGAAAACTGTGAAGGGCGGCATTTTTCAGTAATAGGAAATGCTGGTGGTATTCAGATATAATTGGAAATATTATTCTCTCACACAAAAGTAGAGTCACCCCAAACCACCAATATAGCTTTTGTGTCAAGATAATTAAGTGGTAGAGTTTGATTTTTTTTTAAAACTGCTCACTTTACCATATTTCTACAGCTCATGAATATGGTTGCTCGTTGGCATGGATTGTACTGAACAGAGATTATAACATTTTCGGTAAGTTTTCAATTGCCAGATTTTGATTGTCAAATGGAGTGTTGTTGTGGAGGGAGCCTTGAACTTGATACAGTAAAAAAATAAAATAAAAAAATAAAATAAAATAAAAACTGTCTGGTTTTTTTTATGCCAGCAAAGCTCATTAAAAAGTTTTATGAGTGGTTGGAATCTTTTGAAACATCTTCACTTTGTAATCTGTGATCTACTCCTCAAGATATATGACTTCCTGAGTTCTTCTGGGTCCTAAACACTGACTAATTGCTTGTTTTAGAAAAATTAATAAGGTAAATCTATAAAAGATTAAACTAAAGGAAAATCCAGAACTCCAAGGGTGGGTGGGTGTTTTTGTTTTGTGGGGGGTTTTTTTGAGGGGGGGCGAGGCGGGAGCAGGCAGGGTTGTGTGTTTTGTTTCCATTTAGGATGGTCGGGTTTGAGAGAATTTGTTGGGGAAAGGCTGCCATCTGGTGGCAAAAGTAAAAACTTGCTCCAGGAGCATTAAGGGTTCCCAGAGTGACAACTGCTCCTACTTTGAAGCCTTCCTATCTAATCCAAGCTTAATCCTGTGCATCCCCAGCGTCCCCACTAGCAACAAAGTCTTCAAAATTAAAGTTGAAAAGGCATTAAAGAACTCTTTGCTCAAACAAAGCTTTAGGGGAAAGAGGAAGTGGGTGACAAGAGGAAGAGATGTGGGCTTCCCTCCCTTCCTGGCAGCCCCAAAAGCCTCCATTAGTTTTCAGTTCATTTGCAGGAACTGAAGCCCAGAGATCAACAGACTCGCTCAGAAAGCGTCTCCCCTCTCCTACTGCGGGGCTCTCTCTTCTGACCAGCAGACTTCTTTCCCGTGCTTTCCCTCAGGCTGGAAAAGTCAAAAAGCATCGACGTCTGGAGCTTAGAAAATAAAATTCTTTTCATTCCATCCCAACCCACCTCGGAGCAGATTGCATTGGGGGGTGAGGACAACGAAGACTTCCGAATAATGAGACCCTCCACCAGGGTGACTTTCTGCATGATGGAAATGGTCCCTGTCGGTACTGTCCAGTAGAGTGACCACTACACACACTGAACACTTGAAATGTAACCAGTGTGACCAAGGAGTTAGCATTTCAATTTTTTATTTTCATTAATTTACATAAACTTACCACAGGAGACGAGTGGCTAACCTATGGGATGGGACAGGGCAGTTACAGGCCTTGCCTCCCTAATCCATTCTGATATTATCACCTTCACAAACAAAAACCTATTCGTTCAAAAAGATGTGTCTTGACTACTATATGGAGACCAATGGGTATTCTGCAGCACCCACACAAGAACAGAAAATACTATCTCTGCTTTCCAGGAGAATACAATCAAATGTGGGCAACAGAGCATGTAGACACAGAACTAGAGGCAAGAACACTGGGAGCAGGGACCTCTCTGATGAGGGGGTACAGAGCTGGGTTAATGGGAGATTTGTGACTGAAACGGGGCCTTAAAAGGGCATGCTGCAGAAGGAGGGGACACGGGCATTTTAGAGAAAGGGCAGCAAGGACGTGGAACAGAGGTGGGAGGTCATCAGGTTTGCCCAGAGGACCCCAGAGAGCACAGTCTGCCTTGAGGGGTAGTTGTATAATATGTCAAGGACTCACGGGAAAGTCAGAAAGTTAGAACCAGTTTCCAAACATAAAACTGAGAGACCCAGGAAGGGACCAATGGAAATGGAGGTGCGGGGAGGGGAGAGGGAGGAGAGGACCAACTGAAAGATTTCAAAGGAGCGGGGGACCGGACTTGGGAAAAGAGTAAATGTTGGTGATGAGAAAAGGTGAGCGATAACTGGGTGGAAGACTGTTGAACCAATGCAGAGGCAGATAGCTGGGGGGGAGCGGGCCAGGTGAATGAAGGCTGTTGAAGTTGAGGTTAATGAGATAGTCAGATGGATCCACAAGCACTTTAAGGAGTGAAATGAGAATGAGAAATAAAAATAGAGGCTGGTGGATGTGGGAGTCAAACCAAACTGTTTACTGAAACCTCAGAGCACAGGGGCAGACGCAGGAGGAGGAGGAAGGAAAGGAGAAGAGGCCTGAGGACAGACTGTGCCTCTGATGGCAAACAGTCCCTTCCCAGGGAGGAAAGGGGAGCAGAGCTGGGGAGGAACATCCAGAGGAGTATACCTTCCTACAGGGACGGAGGGAGTCGCCTCACTGCCTATGCCTGTGCCTCCTCAGCACGCATCTCTGCCTTCCTCACTAGATTGTCAACTGTGCAGAAATGGAGATGATGCCCTGTCCTTCAGTCTCAATGCCTACAACATAGCAAGGTACACCCAGTCTGAACACCTCCAGGAGGCAGGAGAAGATGCATGGGCCCCAGAGGAGGTTGAGCCTTGGAGGTTTTGCTTCCATGGCATGGAAAATCAGCCCTGGACTAAAACAAGGTGCTGGTCCCGCCTCACAAAACTGAAAAGCAAGACCCGTGCTTGTAACGTGAGCTAGTCCAGCAGTTCCCAGTCCTGGGAAGTGGTCAGAATCCGCTGAAGACTGATGCTTGGCCTCACCCTCACTCAGTGAGGATGATTTAACCACCTGGGCCACAGATAGAGTTTAAAAAGCTCCCCAGGTGACTCTCATGAGCAGCCAGGGTTGAGAACCATCCAGAAATTAGCGAGGTTTCTAGCCCAGTATTGAGTGCCCTTTCAGTCTCCTGATTGCTGGTGTGACTGTTTATATTCATTGTTTATATTCATGTAACACACTACAGTTAACAAGCAATTTTTGCAGTTTTCAAAATGCTTACATATATTAAACACAATCCATTAGCAGGAGCCCCACACACATCAACTCATTTAATGCTTAGAGAATCCTGGAGCAGTTCAGTTGCCTGCCCAAGACCCCGCAGTTAGTAACAGCCAGGGGAGCCGACCCCAGCGCCCATTCTCCCATCTGTTCCCAGACCAGCAGCTCCCGGATGTCCTGGAAAACAAGTGGGGTGGAAGGGGGGGCCTCTCAGACACTGAGGCACAGGTGGGGAGCCAGCTACAAAAAGTGACAAAAACCGAGGACTTGTCCCCGGGACCACCTGCCTTGGCCCAGCTTCACCCAGGCATGGCCCTCAAGGAGAGTGGACCAGGAGAGACACCCAGCCCGGCCAGGACAAGAAAATGCAAACATACTCTCTGTTCCTTACTCTTACTCCACGCCACACCCCCGTGGGAACAAATTTTACAAACACCTTACAACCTCCCTGACAAAGGAGCAATCCTTTCTGAGTAAGAAGCTCTGTTACAGTGAAGGTCACCTCTTCCCCATCCCATCCCCTTCCAAACGCCCAACAAAAGTAGCAAGACTCATCCCCCGCAGGCCAGGGGGTTCCTAGCCTTGTCCTTTACTTCCTGGGCTGCGGGCAGGGGCCGGGACCATTTGCAAGCTCAGCGCAGCTCTTGGGGAGAGAGAACAGTGGGAGCGGCCTGACTGCCCCCTTCACCAGACGAATGCAGGCTCACAGCGCCGCCGCCCAGAAAGGCTGACGAGTGGGTGAACCTACCACGACGCTGCCTGACGCAGTAGCACAGGGTCAGAGCTCAGCCTAGCTCCGCTGTCAGGAAAGCCAGGCTCCAGGCCCGGAAGCGGTCACCTTACCCGCAGGAGCACAGGTCGCAGATGCACTTCCTCTTCATCGGGGCCATGAGGAGGCCTGAACGTTAGCGCAGAGCATACCCCGCCGTCGCCGCCTCGGAGACCCCAACCGCCTCGACGACGGGGGTGCACAAGGTCTCAGGGGGCCTCGGCAAATGTTCTGGATATTTACGCCAAAGAGGACGCAAGTGGCCTTCGTGCAGAATCCGGCTGTCTGTTCCCTTTCCTGAGCTGGCCTTGCACGAGAGAAGCACGGAGCGTGGGCAGCGCCAGCCCCGCGAGCTCCGGTGCATGCACCTAGCCGCCGGCCTCTGCAGGCCCAACTGCGCCCGGAGCCGCCCCCGGCCCTGGAAGCCACAGCGCGGGGCCGCGGGGCTCTGTGACGTCACCGCGGCCAGGAGGCTCGCCTCCGGTGGCCATGGCGTCACAGGGGCCCTTTGTGACGTCAGAAGGCTCCCAGCGCCTCGGCTGGCAGGCCCAGCGCAAAGGCTCATTGGAACTTGGAGAAACCTGGAGAACAGGGAAAAGCTTTGGAAAGCTCGTGGGTGAGCAAGTCAGCAATGCTGTGGTCGCCTATGCCAAAGGGCTGTCACTTTGGGTGGCATTTTCTAAGGACCATAGAATCCTTTCTTAGAGAAAGGCATCCCTTGACTTCCGGAAGGCTGGCCTTAAATACTATTTCCAGGTCTTTCTTGCGGAAATCAATGCCCTTGGCTCCACCCATAGACCTCGCACTCTTGGGAACAGGGCATTTTAGGGCAGCTGGCCTTTGTCTTTTAGGTGGGTGCTCAATCGCTTCTGCAGGTGCTAACAATGATGGGACAGAGGGACGGTGGTTAAGTGTTAGTTAGTTAGTTAGTTGCGCATCAGAATCAGCTGGCTTGATAAAAATAAGATTGCCAGGGCTCACCCCTGAGCTTCTGATTGCGTAGTTCTGGAGTAAGAAGAGAACTTTGTATCTAACAAGCTAACAAGTGCTATTGATGCTGCTGCACCAAGAACCACACTTTAAGAAACACAGCTTTTTAAGATTCTTTTGCCCTCTCTAAGGAGCCTTCCCCGTATAGTATTGCAGCTTACCAGATCCTCCCAGAAGCCTCCAGCTTCCATATCTCTAGTCTGGGACCCTCGTTTACACTGCTCTGCTAGGTTGTGTGGAATTAAACATTATGACTTCCTGGTTAGTGAAAATGGGAGCTTAAAGTACTGATCATCCGCCAGGACCGGTTTGGCTCAATGGATAGAGTGTCGGCTTGGGGACTGAAGGGTCCCGAGTTTGATTTCGGTCAAGGGCATGTACCTTGGTTGCGGGCATATCCCCAGTCGGGGGTGTGCAAGAAGCAGCTGATTGATGACTCTCTCTCATCGATGTTTCTAACACTCTATCTCTCGCCCTTCCTCTCTGTATAAAATCAATAAAATATATTTTTTTTAAAAAATAAGTTCCTGATGGGAGGCGCTGGGGATTAAGAAATTAGAGAAAGAAAGAGACAAGAGGTAGAAATAGATTCATAAAGCTGGGCGCTAGGTGGGTGCCATCTCTCTGATGGAGAGACAGTCGCACACACCACAGACAGCACAGCATATTTATTGGCTTCCAAAGGGGAGTTTAAGTCAAAAGGAGTTTCGGGTGTGCCCAGATCCTATTCATCAAAATCTGGGTAAGCTCCTTATTTTTTGGTACAAGATTTAGCATATCAAGACCTGGGTGAGTCAAGGTCCTATTTGTTCCTCATTCCAAGCACATGGATTAAGAAATCAGTACTTGCCGTTTTTCCGTGCAGGACGTGGAAAAAGGAGAAACACCACAGTTTACTATATAACTTTTTATTGAAAATGTTTGCCAACCCCAACTCGAGAAAGTAAAAAAGGTGGATCAGAGGGGGAGCAAGCTTACTGATTGTTCTTAAGAACAGTGAAGGGGCCCTAGCCAGTTTGGCTCAGTGGATAGAGCAAAAAGTCCCAGGTTCAATTCCAGTCAAGGGCACATACCTCGGTTGCAGGATCCTCCCCGGTCCTGGTTGAGACGTGTGAAGGAGGCAACCAATCAATGTGTTTCTCTCACATAGATATTTCTTTCTGTCTTCCCTCTCTCTTCCACTCTCTCTAAAATTCTATGGGAAAATATCCTTGGATGAGGATTAAAAAAAGACAAGAACAGTGGAGAGTGAAGCTGCTCCTGGCCTTCCTGGTAGTAGGTCAGAGTCCTAAAAGGGAGAATGGAAACCTAGTGGAGAAGATGGCGAAGTAGGAGCTAGTGGAAAACAAGGCAAATCATGAATGCAATCCTACCCACTGCCAGGGAGCACCAATCACATGACCCTTACAGAGGAACTATCGTACTAAGCACCAGCCTTCTTTTGGCAGCTGACTAAACATTCTCCATGAACCTTCCAGAAGAAGAATGTCCTATTCATGCCCCTAGCCTTTGATGAGAATCACCCCCAATCAAACTGCTCTTGTGGATAGCAGCCTTGTCGACAACCCATCACACTCCCAACTTCTCCCATCCCTGCCCTCAACAGGAAGTGGAGATTTTGAAAGACAAAGGTGGTGTGGATAAATAAGCCTCAACACTAATTTATCTTGGGTATTTCTGTAGAGCTGGTGCTAGGCAGGACAACTCCCCCTGCCACCCTCATTACACGTACTGCCCATGTTTAGTTCCAGCCAACTCTAACTCATTTAAACACCTCTCTGTGTTCCAAAGGGTCCTTGCCTATATACAATTTACTGTCACTTGCCATGCATTATATACTCTGCTACTTTCCCATAAACTCTCTTAAAATTAACATAAATCTATCAGACCCATATTACAAGTAAGAACACTGAACCTAGGAGGTAAGCTCACTCAAGATAACATAGGTAGCCCTGGCCAGTGTTTTCTCAGTGGTTAGAGCATCAACCCATGCACTGAAGGGTCTTGGGTTCAATTCCCAGTCAAGGGCACATAGCTGGGTTTCAGGTTCAATCCCTGGCCCCAGTTGGAGCTTGTATAGGAGGCAACCAATTAATGTGTCTCTCTCACATAGATGTTTCTTTCTCTCTTTCTGCCCTTTCCACTGTCTCTAAAAATCAATGGGGGGAAAATATTCTTGGATGAGAATTAACAAAAACAAAACAGAAAAAAGATGACATAGCTATTAAGTATGAGAGCTGGGATTCAGACTTTCCCAGGTCTTTCTTTTCAAACGGTTCCACCCAAGAAAAAGACTAAGAATGAACAGGTAAGCTGGAGATCTTAAAGACCACTATAAATGGCATTTGATCTTAAAATTTTACATTTACCTTTCTATATGGCCATCTTTATTTACTATTTTCCGCAAAATGTTTTCATAAAATTTATATGCTGTGAAACTACATAATTTTTATTCCCCAAACTTTTTGCTATATACTATCTGAAAATCTACTCTTTTAGAAAATTGTTGAAAATCTTTAGTTACTCCTCTCAGCATAAAGCACTTTAGCAAAACACTGTTAGCATCTTTAACTATATTTTAGATTTCTAAACTTATTGGCACCAAATGAAGATTATCTCTTCATAATACACAAACTGGACCTCTACCATTTGACCATTCATTTATTCTACAAACACTCTCAGAGGAGCCAGGGTACTGAAGGATAGACACAAGAACAGTGCCCTCACACAACTTAATCTAGAGGGAGAAGCAGATGACCAAAATATTGCCAAAGTATATCACTATAAACTATTGTATCAAGAAGGAAAAACAAGGAACAAATAAATCCTATCAAATATTTGAGGAATAAATAATACCAATCCTATGCATACTTTTTCAAAAAATAGAGAAGGAAAACTTCCCAACTCATCCTATGAGGCCAGCATGAATTCCAAAACCAGATAAAATTGTCACAAAAACTACAGCTCAATATCTCTCATGAATATAAATATAAAAATCCTTTTTAAATACTAGCAAACTGACACCAAAAACATATAAGAAGGATTAAATGCTATGACCAAGAGAGGTTTATCCCAAGAATACAAGGTTGTTTTGAAAATCAATTAATGTATTGATAATATACTACATCAATAGAATAAAGGACAACAGATATTTCATCTTCTCAATAGATATAGATTAAGAAAAGGCATTTGACACAATCCAATGCTCATTCTTGATAAAAATCCTCAAGAAATTAATAAAAGAGGGGAATTTTCAAACCTGAAAAAGGCATTTACAAAAACACTACAATTGCCATCATGCTTAGTAATAAGACTGAAGGCTTCTCCCCTGATGTAAGGAACTAGACCAGATGTCTGTTCTCACCACTTCTATCCAGCATCCTACTCGAGGTTATTACCAGTCAAGTAAAAAACAAAAATTGAAGTCATCCAGATTGAAAAGGAAAAAATAAAACTGCATTTACAGATAACATAACCCTCTGTGTAGAAAAGACTAAACTCTATTTGCAGATGACATGATCCTATACGTAGAAAATCCTAAAAATTTTATTTAAAAAAAAACAAACAAGAAAAAAAGTTAAGCAAGGCTGCAGGAGATAAGATCAATTGAATTTCTGCCAAGACCGGTTTGGCTCAATGGATAGAGCGTTGGCTTGGGGATTGAAAGGTCCCGGGTTCGATTCCGGTCAAGGGCATGTACCTTGGTTGCGGGCATATCCCCAATGGGGGGTGTGCAAGAGGCAGCTGGTCGATGATAACTCTCTCTCGTCGATGTTTCTAGCTCTCTATCTCTCTCCCTTCCTCTCTGTACAAAATCAATAAAATATATTTTAAAAAATAAAAAAAAGATCAATTGAATTTCTATATACTAGCAACAAACAATCCAAAAGTTACATTAATAAAACAATTTGATTCACAATAGTATCAAAATGATTCAAATATGTGGCAATAAATTTAACCCTATAAGAGCAAGACTTTTATTGTGCAAGCTATAAACCACTGCTGAGATAAGTTCAGATCTAAATGAATTGAGAGAGATATCAGATCCAAGATGGCTGCGCCCAGGTGAACACCTAGCTGCAGCCGCACACAACAATTTCAATAAAATACAACTAAAATATAAAACGGACATTGCCCAGAACTACAGGAAGGTTGACTGACTGGAAATTCTACAGCGAGAAGCAAGGAGAAAACCAGAAGGAGGCGCGGAGGAGCTGGAAAAGCCCAAGGTACGGAGACGCGGCGCGCGGAGAGGACGGACCTGAGAGGAGGGAGGCCGAGTGCCTGGCGGGCGTTCCCCAGCGGAAAGGAGATAAAACTCCGACTGTGCTGGGCCCCCGACTGCTCTGGACCCCAGTTCTAGGCCGGACCCCGGGGACTCAGGCTCAGCCACAGGGAGCCGGGCTGTAAGGCGAAACCCCGGGGAGAGGCGAAAGGAGGTCCCGGAGGAGCGCACACTGAGCGCAGAGAAGGGACGGTCGGCTGTGCCGGGGGATTGCCCTGACGGGAAGGAGACTGGGGCTCCAGACTGCTCTGAACGCCACCTCCAACTCCACTTCCAACTGAACTGAACCCCAATACCGGGCTCATTAGGGGAGAGCATAGACTGTTTGGCAGCAGGCGAAAATCGAGGGCACCTCTCTCTCAGAGGCGCCGGCAGCAGCGAGCACTGAAGGACCCGCATAGGGCGGGGCTGACAGAAGCCAAAGCTGCAGGCTCCACCCTGAAACCCCGCCCCATCTGTAACTGCGAAATGAGACAACACAATAGATCACAAACGAAAGAATTGGAGGACAAAAAGCGTCTGGATATAGAGTTCAAATCTACGCTTATAAGGTTTTTCAAGAATTTCCTAGAAAAGATGGATAAGGCCTATGAGGATATGAAAAGAGATCAACTAGAATTAATAAGGAGTCAACAAGAAATGATAAGGGATCAACAAGAAATAAAGAATACATTGTCTGAAATAAAAAATATTTTACAGAGTCCTAAAAACAGGAGGGATGATCGCAAGAATCAAGTCAAAGATTTGGAACATAAAGAGCCAGAAGACACTCCTCCACAGAAGCTAGAAGGCAAGAGAATCCAGAAAATTGAAGATAATGTAAGAAACCTCTGGGACAACTTCAAGCGAACCAACATCAGAATTATGGGGGTCTCAGAAGATGAGAGAGAGCAAGATATCGAAAACATACTGAAAGAAATAGTGACAGAAAACTTCCCCCACCTGGTAAAAGAATTAGACTTACAAGTCCAGGAAGCGCACAGAACTCCAAACAAAAGGAATCCAAAGAGGACCACACCAAGACACATCATTATTAAAATTCCAAGAGCAAAAGACAAAGAGAGAATATTAAAAGAAGCAAGAGCAAAGAAGGTAGTAACCTATAAAGGAACACCTATACGATTGTCAGCTGACTTCTCAACAGAAACCATGCAGGCCAGAAGGGAATGGCAAGAAATATTCAAAGTGATGAATAGCAAGAACCTACAGCCAAAATAATCTACCCAGCAAAGCTATCACTCAGAATCGAAGGCCAGATAAAGAGCTTCACTAATAAAAAAAAGCTAAAGGAGTTCATCACCGCCAAACCAGAATTATATGAATTGCTGAAGGGAGTTCTTTCAGAAGAGAAAGTAAACAAAGATAAAAATTATGAACAACAAATACGTAACTATCAACAAGTGAATCTAAAAACCAAGGAAATTAAAAAAATCTGATGAACAATATTAACTGTTGAATATAATAGAATCAGAGGTATGGAAGGGGAGTGAACTGATGATTCTTGGGGAAAAGGGGAGAGGGGGGAGTGGGAAGAGACTGAACATAAACTGTGCACCTATGGATGAGGACAATGGGGAGAGGGGAAAGGGCAGAAGGTGGGGTGGGAACCTGGTGGAGGAGAGCAATGGTGGGGGGGGGGGGAACATTTGTAATATGAACAATAAAAACTTATTTAAAAAATAAATAAATAAAATAAAATAAAATAAAATAAAATAAATTAAAAAATGAAAAAAAAATGAATTGAGAGAGATATCATGTGCATAGATCAAAATATGCAATATTGTTAAAAAGGCAATTCTCCCCAAATTGATTTATAGATTCAATGCTATACCCATCAAAATCCCAGCAAATGTTTTAAACAGAAATTGGCATGCTGATTCTAAAATTTTATATAGAAAGTCTAAGGTCCTAGAAGCCAAATAATTCTGAAAAAAAAACTTAAAACACCCAATTTCTACACATTATCAAAATTATAACTAAGTTAATCAAGACAGTATGATATTGACTAAGAAAAGACATATAAATCAAGGAACACAATGACTAAGTCACAACTCTTACAGTTATGGTCTATTGATTTCAAAAAAGGTAACAAGGCCATTCAATGAGAATGAGGAAAGGATGGTCTTTCGATGATGCTGATATAATTGGATATCCATATGCAGGGGGGAAAAAGAAAATTTATACTATAACATCACTTCATACAAAAATTAACTAAAAAATTAATCACAGCCTGCCCAGTGTGTGTGGCTCGGGTTAAACGACCTATGAGCCAGGAAATCAGAGTTCCATTCCTAGTCAGGGCATGTTCCCAGGTTGACGGTTCAATCCCCAGTAGGGGATGTGCAAGAGGCAGATGATCAATGATTCTCTCTCATCATTGATGTTTCTATCTCTCTCTCTGAAACAAAAACATTTTTTAAATGTTTCAGACACTTAAATGTAAAATCTAAAATTATAAAATATTTAGGTGAAAGCAAATAACTAAATCTTTGTGAAACTCAGACATAATCCATAAAACTAATAATAATTAATTCTTGAAAATATCCTGTTAAGAGAATGAAAAGATAAGTACAGACTGGGAGAAATACTTGCAAATCACTTACCTGATAATGAACTTTTATCCAGAATATACAAAGAACTCTTACAGCTCATAATAACACAACCCAATTAAAAAAGAGCAAGAGATTTTAAGAGATTTCACCAAAGAAAATATATGAATGCCAATAAGCACATGAAAAGATGCTTGTGCAGAAAAGAGTTAACATAGCAAGCCTGAAACTGCTATCCTTGGGAAAGTCCTGCTTGCAAGGATTGCCCTTGGCTAAGAACTTGGATTTGGAGAGTTCTGGCCATTCCCTGATAAAAATGGCTCGCTGTGCCTAAACTGTTCCAGCAATGTGGTTTATACTGACCACCTACTTTCCTTCTGGGAACCTGGAATTCTGGTACATGCTAGGGTAAATGGTGCCGGTGTGGCCAGCCCCCAATAAAAACCCTGGGCCATGAGTCCCTAATGAGATTTCCTTGTAGATATTTCACACGTGCTGTCACAACTCATTGCTTACGAGAATTAAGCACATCCTGTGTGATTTCACTGGGAAAGAACTTTTGGAAACCTGTGGCTGTTTTCCTCCAGATTTCACCCCATTTGCCTTTTTCCTTTGCTGCTTTTGCTATGAGTCCTTTCACTGTAATAAATCAAAGCCATTAGTATGACAACATACTGAGTCCTCTGAATCCTCCTAACAAATCATTGAGCCTGGTGGTGGTCTTCAGGACCCCCAACAAAATGCATGACATTAATAATCATTAAGGATATGTAAACCACAACCCTAATGAGACTCCCTTTCAGAATCATTAGAATGCTATCAGTCAACATTGTTGCCAAGGATGTGAATAAAGTGGAACTCTCATACATTGCTGATAAGAGTGTAAAATGGTACAGCTGCTTTAGAAAATAGTTTGACAATTTCTTAAAAAGTTAAGATATTCTTACCAGATGACCTAGCAATTCCACTCATAGGTATTTACCCAAAAGATATGAAAACGTATGTCCACACAAAAACTTTAACATGAACATTCATAGAAGCATTATTCCTAATAGCATAAAAACTGGAAATAATCCCAATTTCCATTAGCTGGTGAATGAACAAACAAAATACAGTAGTGTATGGAATACTATTCAGCAAAAATATTTGGAATTTTAATACATGCTATAATATTGGATGAACCTCAAAAACCTTTTGCTAAGAGAAAGAAGCAAGTTTTTCAAGTATCGTATTTTCCAGCGTATAAGACAACTTTTGAAACGAAAAAAAGCCTGCTCAGATTGGCCAGTCAGAGAGGCGGTCTATTAAAAAAAGAACTGGTGTTGCCTCGGAAGTGGAGGGTAGTCTTATACAGTGAATATAGGCCTAACCTATGTTTTAACTGTAAAATTAGGGGGGTCGTCTTATACACCGGAAAATACGTGTGTGTGTGTGTGTGTGTGTGTGTGTGTGTGTGTGTGTGTGTATTATATGATTCAACTTACATGAAATTTCTAAAGAAGACAAATTAATAGAGACAGAAAGTAGAAGAGTGACTGCCTCAGTCTCAGGGTGGGAGCAGAGACTGGTGGCAAACAAAGGCAAGGGAAGTTTTTATTTTTTAATATATTTTTATTGATTTCAGAAAGGAAGGGAGAGGGACAGAGAGATAGAAAATTGCACATCATTTATGTGATAAGGGTTAATATCCAAAATACACAACTCACTAGGAAAAAATCAGATGAAAATATGGGCAGAGAAATTGAATAAACATTTTTACAGTGGAGACACACAAATGGCCAACAGATACATGGAAAGATGTTCAACATCACTATCAGGGAAAGGCAATTCAAAACTACAATGATAGTGCTCACTTCAGCAGCACGTATGCTAAAATTAGAACGACACAGAGAAGATTAGCATGGCTCCTGCGGAAGGATGACATGCAAATTTGTGAAGCGTTCCATATTTATAGAAAAAAATGCCTACTATGATATATCACCTGTTAGAATGCCTATCATCAAAGACGAGAAAACATGTTGGTGAGGATGCGGATAAAAGTTAATCCCTGTGCATTGTTGGTAGAAATGTAAACTGGTGCAGCCTCTGTGACAAACAATATGGTGTTTCCTTAAAAATTTATAGTCCAGCGAAGGTCTGGGGGTGGAGTTCTGGTGTGGGGTGAAGAGAGTCAATGAGGAATAAAATGGAACATCTGTAATATTTTTGACAATAAAAACAATTTTTTTCAAAAAACTACCATATGACTCAGCAATCCCACTTCCAGGCATATATTCAAAGAAAACAAAATCACTATCTTAAAAAGGTATGTGTAGCCGAAACCAGTTTGGCTCAATGGATAGAGCGCTAGCCTGAGGACTGAAGGGTCCCAGGTTCGATTCCAGTCAAGGGCATGTAACGTAGTTGCAGGCACTTCCCCAGTAGGGGGTGTGCAAGAGGCAGCTCATCAACGATTCTCTCTCATCGATGTTTCTAACTCTCTATTCCTCTCTCTTCCTCTCTGTAAAAAAATCAATAAAATATATATATATTTTTTTTTTTTAAGGTATGTGTAACATCCTTTCCCCCCCCCTCCCATGATCATTGCAGGATTATTTATAACTAGAGGCCCAGTGACCGAAATTCATGCACAGATAGGGTCCCTAGCAGCTGCTGAATGCTGGCCGGGGCCTCCTTTCCCTGGCTGACCTAGGCCTCCCTTCATTCCGTGCTGCCCCCTGGTGGTCAGTGCATGTCATAGCGAGCAATCAAACTCCTGGTAGGTCAAAATCCCGAGGGGACATTTTGCATATTAGGCTTTTATATATATATATAGATATATAGATAGTCAAGATATGGAAACAATGCAACTGTCCATAGATGAACTAATGGTGAAGAAAATATGAGAGATAATTTTTCAGCAATAAAAAGGAAAGAAATCTTGCCATTTGCAACAATCTGGATGAATCTGGAAGGCATTATGCTAAGGAAATAAGTCAGACAGAGAAAGACAAATACTGTATGATCTCACTAATAGTGGAACCTAAAAAATAAAATGAAAAACTCATTGGCACAGCAAACAGATTGGTGATTGCCAGAGGCAGAGGTTGGGGAGTGAGTAAAATGAGTGGAGATGGTCAAAAGGTACAAACTTCCACCCTGACCAGTTTGACTCAGTGGGTAAAGCATTGGCCTGCAGACCCAAGGGTCCTGAATTAAACTCCAGTTAAGGGCATGTACCTCAGTGCAGCCTCCTTTGCAGCCTGGGCCTGCCAGGCCCTTACAGGAGGCAACCAATCCATGTGTTTCTCTCACATCAATGTTTCTGTCTTTCCCTCTCTCTTCCACTTTCTCTAAAAATCATTGGAAAAATATTCTCGGTGAGAATTTAAAAATTATAAAATTAAAAAAGGTACAAAATTCCACTTAAAGATAAGTTTTAAGAATATAATGTACTACTTGATGGTTATAGTTAACAAAACTGCATTTTACATTTAAAATTTGCTAAGAGTAGACCTAAAAAATTTTCATCATAACGAAAATAATTTTAAATATGTTGAGGTAAAAAAAAAAAAAAACTTATTGTAGTAATTATTTGGCTAAATATAAAATCATTATGTTGTACACCTAAGATGAATGCAATGTTATATGTCAACTATGTATCTCAATAAAACTGGGGGGAAACATCACCATAATCCAACATATATACTAGAAGAATTTCATAGCTCAAATGCTAAAAATAAAAAAAAATGTTAACCTATCCATGGGACAGCAGGAATTCTGCTATTGATATATTTTAGCCAAAATCTGTTAATATCTCATCTATTTATATTGTAGAATATGCTGTTAAAGAATATTCTAGATGACTTACTCAAAGTGTATTAACTTTTAAACAGAAAGTAAGCTTTTTACATTAAAAGAGAAATGATGCTTTATATGAGCAAATGTAATATTAATATTATTCAGCTTTTAAAAAGGAGAGCCTGCCATTTGCAAACAATATAGATGAAATAAAACCAGACACAGAAAGGGAAAAAAGCTTGCACGGTCTCACTTAAGGATAGAATCTTACATATATAGTAGCAAAAAGTAGACTGGTTAACAGAGGTAAGGGAGGTAGGGAAAATAGGGGGGTGCAGTTAGTAGGATAGAGATCTAACCTAAAGCATAATGACTATAGTTAATATTGTATTAAATACTGGAAATTTTCTAAGAGTGGATTTCAGATATTCTCACCACAAAGGTGTGTTCATTAGCTTGACTGTAGTAATCATTTCACTGTGTATGATCAAATCATGTTGTACACCTTAAAGATTAAAGATATTTATATTTTTTAGGTAAAATTGCATGTCATCACTTAATAGATGTATAACTTGCCAATGCTACTTAACCCCCTCCAAGCTTCGATTTGAAAATCGGGTTATTTATTCATAGGGTCATTGTGAGAATAGAGCTAAGGCACAGGTTCCATATTATAGTTTCCTCAAGCTCTGGAGAGCTGATGGTCAATTCTAAAGTCTGAGATGACAGGAAAAGGGGGTGTGAGAAAGGAACTTCCAAGGAGAAAAAGCACGAACTGGGAGTCGGGATATTGCTCAGCAGACATTTACTACCGTGCAGCTTGGCAGCCCTGGGCCATCACTTAACTTCCCTGGCCTGTTCAGTAGGCGTTTGCCCTGCCCTGGTTCTTAGCAAACAGGGGTCCTGGGAGGCCTCCCACCCGGGCCCACCATCACCCAGACACCCCGGCATCCCGTCTTAGGGGCGGGCTGGCCGCGAGAGGGCAGCATTCTCCCAAACGACCACCCGCGCGTACACCTCTGCGACCCTAAACCCAGCTGGAACAAAAGAACGGGACACTAGAATCCTGGGTTCCCCTTCCATTTCCTGGTCCCGAGGCCTTTGCTCTGTCTCATTATTAAAAAGCAGTTTATCAGAGCTCCTCAGGCTGGGGCGGCCGAGCGCGCGGGCAGTTATCGCGAGATCGCCGCCGGAAGTGGGTGGCAGCCGAGACGCAGCGGCTTTCCTCACCGGAAGGCGAGCGGTCGGCGGAGCAGCTGCAGCCGTTTGCTCCTCTCTCCCGCGGCAGCGCTCACCCCGCCGGGCCTTGCCAACCGCAGCCCGCGCTCTCGGCCTCCCTGCCTGCTCCGCCGCAGGGCCCAGCCTGCCGAGCCCTCCGAACGTCCGGCCGCTCGCTCGCTCGCTCCCTCCCTCCATCCGCGCTGCAGCGAGGCCGCGCCCTGAGGCCCAGTCCGCGGCGGCTCCCGGCAGGTGATGCCCAATACGGCCATGAAGAAAAAGGTGCTGCTGATGGGGAAGAGCGGGTCGGGGAAGACCAGCATGAGGTCGATCATCTTTGCGAATTACATCGCTCGCGACACCCGGCGCCTGGGCGCCACCATCGATGTGGAGCACTCCCACGTCCGATTCCTGGGCAACCTGGTGCTGAACCTGTGGGACTGCGGGGGCCAGGACACCTTCATGGAGAATTACTTCACCAGCCAGCGGGACAACATCTTCCGCAACGTCGAGGTGCTCATCTACGTGTTTGATGTGGAGAGCCGCGAGCTGGAAAAGGACATGCATTACTACCAGTCGTGCCTGGAGGCCATCCTCCAGAACTCTCCCGACGCCAAAATCTTCTGCCTGGTGCACAAGATGGATCTGGTGCAGGAGGACCAGCGTGACCTGATTTTTAAAGAGCGAGAGGAAGACCTGAGGCGTCTGTCCCGCCCGCTGGAGTGCGCCTGTTTTCGAACATCCATCTGGGATGAAACGCTCTACAAGGCCTGGTCCAGTATTGTCTACCAGCTGATCCCCAATGTGCAGCAGCTGGAGATGAACCTAAGGAATTTTGCCCAGATCATCGAGGCCGATGAAGTTCTGCTGTTCGAGAGAGCCACGTTCCTGGTCATTTCCCACTACCAGTGCAAGGAGCAGCGCGACGTGCACCGGTTCGAGAAGATCAGCAACATCATCAAGCAGTTCAAGCTGAGCTGCAGTAAGCTGGCCGCTTCTTTCCAGAGCATGGAAGTTAGAAATTCCAACTTCGCTGCTTTCATCGACATCTTCACGTCAAACACGTACGTGATGGTGGTGATGTCGGATCCGTCGATCCCGTCCGCAGCTACTCTGATCAACATTCGCAACGCCAGGAAACACTTTGAGAAGCTGGAGAGAGTGGATGGTCCCAAGCACAGCCTCCTTATGCGTTGAATGTTGCCAAATGCTCTTTCTGAAAATGCTGAATTGCCTTCCCTCTCCCCCCGTCCCTCCCGCATCCTTTTAGTATTCATAATGTGGTGTGCTTAAAAGTGGGCTTTGAATTGTGTGCTGCTTACTACTTCCATCTCTTCCCTACTCCCCATTCTTTAAATCTCGGACGCTATTTACTCAGCTATCCAGTAGAGCTTTAAGATGGCCTTTCTGAAAAGTTGGTATGGTGTAACACTAAAGTAGGTGGTGTGTGTGTATGTGTGTGTGTGTTCTGATTACCTGGTTATAATAGATATATACATCAAAGCCTTTACAATATCTTCCTGTATTCCTTGCAAGGTTGCAATGATGGAATGTTACTATTTTATCAGCAAGATATTAAAATGCATTTATAAATTCTTCTTGGCTTCGGTCATAAATAAACATTTGCTGTTAGCAATTTAAAACATGGTCTTATTTGAAATAATTTGAAGGGGTTAATATGTAAATCTAAAGATTCTGACTGGCCACAGTATTGCTTTACCGGTAAGTCTGATTTTGTGATCTTAGCCCCCATCACCTTAAGGATGTTTCATAGCAGCTGTAACAGTGACTGAACATTGAATCTGGAGCTAGACCACCTGAGCTGAGTTAGTATTCTTTCTAGTACCTTCACTTACTAGCTTTGTAAACTGGGCAAGGTATTTAATTTCGCTGTTGGGTTTTCTCATTTATAAAATGCAGATAAGAATAGCACTACAAAATAGGATTGTCAAAA